AAAAAAATAACTATTAAAATAAAGAAACGCGACCGCGAGGTCGAACCCGCGACTGCATGTAGGGTTGAAAACACGTCATGAAGAAAAGCGACCGCGGGGTTTAAATGGTTTTCCCATATGCAGCTGCACCGCAATTTCCAAGCGCTCTGTGACATATAAGCCGCGCCAAACGGACAGTTAGCTAGGTGACATTGTTGGGAGACTTACTCTTACAAAAAACTAAAATTGAGTCTCGTTGGATGGGTACCTCCTCAATATGTATAGTTAAATTTCTAAAATTTTATTTAATAGGGCTATAGAAAATAAGTTTGTCTTTCGGGAACAGCTCATGTTAAACTCATTAAAAAACTGGCATTCAATTCAATATTTTGAGCTTAAATTTCACGCGAGAGGGCAAAAGGAATATTTATTTGATTTTGTTTTGCTTAGAACTATAATAATTTTGCTCTTTTCTTGCTTTGTCCTGCTTTCCTTTTAGAAATTTAACATTGTAATGTTTAAAGTATAGTGTTGATACCCTACAAACAAATTTCCTTCATCCGACAGAAATCTCAAACTATAACACGGATTTCGATCTCTTAAGCAAGGAATGTTCAAATTTTGATAAAAAGAGATTTAGAGCTCAAATTTCATAAAACTTATAGTTAAACTGATCGACTCAGCGAGACATACCCAATGATATCAAAATTGGTCTAATCATAGTCAAATCAAGCTTAGATCAAGTCATTAAATCACACTTGGAAGTTGTCTGTGCATATTTGAAAGGTCAAACAAATGTCGAATCTGGTAAACTTATAGACGAATTGAGCGTCTCAGCTAGATGGTTCTAACGAGCCTAAGATCATTCAATTCTAATATCATTAAGACTCTCAAATGTTCATCAAATTTCGTCTCATTGATAGAAGTTCTTCAGATTATTTGATCAAAATGGTTCATATTTCTGCATTAATTGCACCCGAAACTCTATTAATAGAGGCACACCCCTCTCTTGAGGGGAGGAAGAGCTTGAAGTTGTGAGAATGAGCTGAATTTTAGCATTACTCCTGCCACTGTCAACCACTACTGACATCCGTCGACTCCCGTCGACCGCCGTGGACCACCTACCAGCCGCCACCGATCAATATCGTTCGTCGCCCATTTCTTGCAACAAGGTTATTCGCACGTCAACGTTGTAATTTATGATACTTTGTAACCATTTCCCGTCAGGGGATCTTCGTAATCATCAACTTCTGATGTCTCTACTGATTATTTTTCTTTTATTCGAGAGTGTATTAAATTTTCGTGTAACGTTAAAACGATAATCTAATATTCTACCGCTGTAAATCTTTTAACACGCGTCAAACGTAAATGCTTATGACATGTTTGGGATCACATTCAATTATTTATTATTTATTTTGTTTTTAGCTTGTTTTTTTTTAATTTTTAGAAAACATATTTAGTACTCTTATGATTTATATATTAACAAAAAAATATATAAATTATTTTATAGTTGAGTATTTTTTTAATTTTTTTAAAGGAAAAACTATATTTTTTATAAAACGGTTGGGTCAACGTGCGCTCCAGTATTAAGCTATGTCACTCATAACATATACAACGTTTTCTTTGTTCCACCCAGTACGAAGCATTACCTATGGGTGGATAGGCGGCGGGAAGTGGGCTGCAGGCGGTGGCTGCGGCTGGGGGGGCTGCGGCTGGTGACGTCTGACGGCCGACGATGTTCAATAGTTGGTGGGGACCGACAGCGACCGACGACTATTTTTGGCTAGCGGCGTCAGGCGGCGGGCGACGGGCGATGGGAGATTTGGAGAGGTGGGGGCGGCAAGTGGTACTTCATGAAAAAATTTATAAAAATAACTGTCATTAAAGCTCAATTAAAAGCATTTTGACATCTAAACCCTACCATCATACATTAGAGGACTAAAAATCTATGTCGCGCCATTACTTTGTTATTTGCTTGACTAAAATGACTTGGAGAAAGATATCTGACATCAAATACTAATCAACACCATTCACAATCGCCATTCTCCAGTCATCATCACTCAATTGTTGTCATTCAACAACTATTTCAAAATCCCCATTATTCGATTATTAACATAGTCATTCATTTATTATCACGAAATCATCATCATAGTTGTCATATCATTATATCATAATTGATGTCATCCTACCACTATTACTCAATGTTCTTAACGACTTTGATCATCTCATCCCTACTTCCATCACAACAACAAATCCCTACTTCCATCACAAAAAAAAAAAAAGATTAGGCTAGTGTTGAGTATATTATTTTATAATCATATATTCTAATATATTCTTTTATTAAAAAAAATGGTGGACATCTGCAATCTTAACCATCATAAGAATTTTTTTTGTGTGAGTAAAGGCCCGGTTTTTTTTTTTTATATATTTCATATTTTATTTTTTTGGTAAAAACATACATACTGCTTGTTGATTTTTGACTTATTTGTAAATACAACCCAATGGTTATAACATAAGAAGAGACAGAGTTTGTAAATACAACCCAATGGTTATAACATAAGAAGCGACAGAGAGAGATGAACGATAAAGAACAGTAAAAGCTCTTGTGGATTGACACTCTCATAAGCGATATTTCTATTTATAGAGAAGATTATATAATATATGATGCTACTTTTCCCCCTACTTTAATAAGGATTGTACATGGTATTTTGGATATTCTATATGTACGAGCCTATTGTTCGGCTGCTCTATGTCTCGGTCGTCAACACGACTTCAACTTTGTAAGGTTAATTCGGTCAACTAAGCTAAATCTGTACAACTAGTCAACTTGTCTTTATTAGTTTCAAGTCAGCATGACTAAGTCAGTCAGCTAGACTTTGATGATCAGTTGATCTAATCTGACCATCGAACCTTAATCTCTATATGAGGAGCTTCTATGAGCATAACGATAACATGCTATCGTGCAGAGAGTGAATCATCATAACCCAATAGATAACTTATTAATTGACAAGAGAGTCATTTGGGATGATTATGAGACTTTGTTGTATTGCTAATTTTTTATTCATGATAAGGAATCCTTAGGGGATTTCATGGGATGGTTGGTGATACTGAGGAACTGGATTCTTCCTTCAAGTCAGATTTACAGAAGGATATGTTGATTCCCTTGCTCGTCTTTCCACCTTAAACAAACACGTTTGTTGAAATTCCAGTGTCAATAATGATGTTATCAATCTGGTAGTTGCTGATCAGCGCCACGACGATGATGGTATCCCTGTAAGGATTTCCCTTGGGCAGATTTGAATCAGTAAAAGCAATGGGGGGATGTGAGTTGCAAGAGGGTGCAATGACGGGTGCTCATAATTCACCCGACCGAAGCCTTTTCAGAATGGCTTGACGGAATGAATTCTCCTTCTTCAAAGATAGCATGAACTATGTCAACCACATAGGTGGCCTGGGCTCAGACAAACTCATCTAAAATTTCTTCTACTGGAGCTTTCCCCTACATCTGGGTCGTTGCTCCTAAAACTACAAACTCATTGAGCTTTCCAGCTCTAATCAACTCCTCAATCAAGATCCGGAAGTGTCGACATTCCTTCCTAACATGGCCATAATATTAGTGGTATATGTGGTACTTCTTTGAATCTAAGAGGTAGGCACCAATTTTCACTGGTGGTGCTTTCTTGAAATTCCCCTTTCTCTGGATGACTTCCATTATCTCGATCATCTAGATTCTCTATAAAGTCATTTTCGACATTTTAGGGTTGGGCAATGGGCGCTTGTCATAACGAGCTTGACTCCTTGGTTGTAAGATTTGTTGTTCCTGCTTTGATTCTGAGGGAGCTGACGATCTTCATACTCGAACGAGTAGAAGGGTGCGAGTCACCTCTCAGCCTCCACTCAGGCGATGGGTAGAAGGTTCTCCTCTAGAAGAAGTGGGGGTAGAGTTGTACTTCTCAGCATATATAGGGTTATTGGCTATCACCAATAATAATGAATAGTAAAATATCTTGTCTATTAGCTCATTCTTATAAAGTGATATCCATATTTATAGATGAGAGAGTATAATAATGATATTACATTTTTTAATTTTAGATATATTACATGCATGGGCTTCTTGCTCGACTGCCCCTATTACTCGATCAACTGGAATGACATGAATTTTGCTTGATAAGACCGATTCGATTGACAAAGCTAAGTCGTTATAATCAATTGGTTGTTCTTAATTAGCCCGGGCCAGTAGGACTAACTCGATTGATTAGACTTTGTCAATTAGTGGATCCAATCTGGCCATCGACCTTCCATCCTTAGAGAATGAGTTCCTGTCGGTAGAACGAGACTTGGCTATCAAACAGATGGTGAATCACTATAACCGATAGATAACAAATTTCTCGAGGGGGGAGTCATTTGGGATGATTGCGAGACTATATTGTATTGCTAATTCTAGGTCTTTGATGAGAAATTATCTACAGTGCCTCTCGAACAGTTGGTGATGTCGAGAAATTTGATTGTTTTCTTATGCCAAATTTATGAAGAGACAGGTCAATACTTTCATTCGATTTTTTGGGTAAATACATTCGTTCGATTTTTTGGGTAAATACATTCGTTCGATTTTTTGGTGATAGTTAGCTTAAGTGCTTATCTGCCTTATTTTAATTCGATCAGTTCATATTTTGGATCGTTCTTTTGATCTTTCTTTTGGCTCAGATTACCTTCATCCTACGTTCATAAATTGAGCAAGCACAACCTCTTGGTCTCTTGAAGGCGGGCCTCATTTATTGCACTTCATTCCTTATGGATCTTTAAATCTCTACGTGATTCGTGTTGAAACATTCTTGAGGCATATCACATACTTCTTGTGTATTTACATGCCTAACATCTCAAATTTTATATGTATATACATATCATTTAAATATTTAACATTACAAAAAACAATGTCATTATTACTAAAATTAAAAAAAAATGAAATGCATTTATGCATAAATTTATAATGCCAATATAATATATATAGATTCCCCATTTTTTTCTAAATATGGTTAGACCATTTAATGATCGAGTCAAAAGTATACTCGTAATGATACGACTAATTAGAAAAACAAATGCATCTACGGTCTGACAGGCACGACAGCCGTTAGATCGGACTAATTTAAATCGTTCGATCTAGGTCAAGTGAAGGTTTTTTTATTTATTAGCGTTTCGGCGCGTCTTCTCTTTCCCCGGATCTTGGTTTCCAAAAGAGGCGGAGCTTGAGGGGAACGGCAAAGTGAAAGATGGTGCAGCGTCTCACCTACAGAAAGCGGCATAGCTATGCCACAAAGTCTAATCAAACCAGGGTTGTCAAAACCCCAGGTGAAGATCCAATCTCCCGTCCACTTAATTTAAGCTTCTGCTGCATATGCTGTTTATTGTTCCTTTGTTGTTTGGTTGTTGTCCTCTGATCCTGTTTTCTTAGTCATTTTTTCCCTGAAAGTTTTGTCCGCTCCTATTGGTCACTGCGGGGCAGTTCATCTTTTATTTTAAAGTGGATATTTGTTTCTTTGGAGGTTTTTAAATTTTAGTTGGATGATGGTTTGATTGTGGAACTCAGGCGGAAAGCTTGTTTATCAATACACAAAGAAGAGGGCGAGTGGGCCAAAATGTCCCGTGACTGGAAAAAGAATTATCGGGGTACGTGATCCTGCACTTCTAATTTGTCCATTAACTTTTTTGTTTTAAATCTGTATTTAGATGCGTACAAGCGATTTCGCTTTTATGTTCAATCATTTTTGGTGGGCGTTATGATGTTATAATTGTTCATCGATCTCAAGTTTTTCACTAAAAAAACCAAATTGATACAAATTTCTTATGCCTGTTTATCATTTTTTACTGTTTTAATTTTGTTTTTTTAAAATTTGTTTCATTTACTTATTGCTTATGTTCTAAACTAAATTAAACATGTTTGTCTTCTTATTTATTAAAAATTTGTTTCATTTACTTATTGCTTATGTTCTAACTTATTTATTATTATTATTATTATTTTCACTCTCCTTTAAGCTTTCAAGTCCTAGACTGCAGCTTCCACCTTGATGACTTCCTTGCTTACGATCAAAGTTTTTTCCCTTCTTAGGCTCTTTATCTCCTCCTTAAACTCCTTTTTATTAGAGAAGATGCAGCCTCTGTTATCCACCTCCTATGCCTTGTGTGGATCTCTGGTGCTGTTGAGGTTGGCGGTGGGCAGTAGGAATTAGGTTAGTCAACCAGTGAAGGAGGCCTCTGCAAAGTCGGCATGTGATTTTAGTTGCCTTGTTTCCACTTTTATTTAGTGAAGGAGGGCTCTTGCTTACATCATGCATTGTAGGGAGAGCTCTTATAGATGCTGTTCTTTTGCAATGGAGACCTCGATGAAACTGGTCATGTAGTTTTTGTGGTCTTTCTTCTACTTGCTGAAGGATAGCTATCGCGGACATCATCCAAAGTAGGGAGAGTTATGCCATTCATAACCGACAATCAGTGAAGGATAATTGAGTATGTTGATCATTGGATTTGATTTAAAAGTGTATGCTTGATGTTTTGATAAAATCCCTTGTTTAAAATGGTGTTTGAGGCACACATTGAGGGGTGGCTTGAATTGAGGTGCACAAAAAACACCACGATATGGCTATATATATAATATATAGTCAAAAGATTGTTTGATCACTCATTGATTGATATTAAGAGTAAACATAAAAATGTAGTAATTGAAGAATAATATGAAGATGCCCATGAGATAGAATTAGATGATTAAATTATTACATTTATTAATTCTTCTGAAGATTATAAAAGTGAGAATAAGGTTGCTATGGATTTTGGTTTTTATGGTTTATTTAATTTTAAATGAATGCTTACCTTGATTCATATTTGAAACTTTAATTTTACTTAACATTTAAGGTTGAAATTTGTAGTTGAGGTTTTAATGAAAATAAGATAAACTAATATATCAATATTTTATGTCATATTATGAATAAATTTTTATTTTTATTATTATCATTATTATTATTTTATGTTGAAGTTCACACTTTGATTCCTCTTGTGGCTTACGCCTCTTCTTATTAAGGCTAAACATCTCTGTTCCCAGTTTCATGTTTTAAAGCCTTCAAAAGTTTTAAATCCTAAGTATTAAAAACAAAATACCTACCATACATATTTTGTTTTCTTATTTCCTTATTAAAAAATAAAACATAAAACAAGAGTGAGGACAAATATGTTCCGATGGAATTTAATTTATAGTTATCATTTGGTTTGAAAGTATTCTTTTTGTAAGAATTTAAGTTGATGGGAATGGCTTGTGCTTGAAGTTAATTGGTTATAACCTGTTACAATAAATTGGAACTAAAGTTCAAGCTTTGTGGTTTGAATTGATATTTACTTGTTTCATGTCATATTTAGTTGAGTTGTGCAATTTTTGAGAACAAAATTTTTTAGTCCAATTAGGAGTTGGCAATTTTTTTTGATTTAATTGCATCTTTAAATACAAAATTAATGCATAACATGAATTTCACATTTTTTTTTTGGGACGGGTGAGCACTCGAACTTGGGTCTTTGAATTTTGCATAGTTTAATAAATTTGTAATTCAGGGGGATGTGCTTATGCTGTTGGTTCCTAATACTAGAAATAGTAGATAAATCAACAAACCTCTTATGATGAACTTCTATTAGTAGAGGCCTCATATGATAGGATTCTAAATGGTTGATTTCAAAGGAATATAAAAAGGAGAAATTGCAATGTGTTGGTTTCTTCGCCATAACATTGATCGGGAGTTGGAGACACCTCCTCACGCTATCTTTGTGAGGTTACTTTGGCCCATGCCCTTTTAATTTAAGAATTTGATCATAATTGTTGTATTTAATTGGCAATTGTTTTATCTTTAAAAAACCTTTCTTCCATTAAAGTTACAACACATTTTGTCTTTTATATGTTTTTCATAAATTGCAGTTTCTAGATTGTCTAATAACTTTTTTTCCTCCTTGCATGAACTGCCTTAAAATGCTGGAGAAACAATCTTATGCAAATCTTTGATTGTCTTGTCATACATTATTTTCTTTGAAACATCCTTATTTTTACAATGTTGCAAACATTTTCATGGCTAATTTGAGGTAACTTTTGGTTATTTTGCTCAATTAATCAGTTTTTAGTTATTACTTGTTTAAAGAGGACTGTGGGTCTGGTGTAAACTTATTTAAGTGGATGGTTAAGGCTTATGATTGATAATATGGGTTCGTTTGAGGTGTCTTTTTACTGCTTTATTTTATTTTGTTATATCTTGTTTTCAATAATTTATTTGATGATCAGTTTTTTTTTTTTTTTCAAATAATCAAATCTTTAGGAGAATATGTGAAAAGTATCAATGATCACTAGATTATTTGTATGGAGCCATTTTAGTCTTTTATTATAAAATAATTCAATTTAGTCTTTTGACCGAATAAACGTGATTCAAAATAGTCACTCTTGGGATTAATTCTGGATCATATTTGAGGAGTGAGGAGTGATGAGTGACGATGTATAAATAATTTAGAGGATCACTTTAACCCTTTTATTGCTAAGATGTGTGAGATGATGAGATCTGAATTTTTTTAGAGAGAAAACTACAATAATTATAACAATTTAAAAAAAAAAGATCTGTTTTTTCACAGTAGCTTTTTACATAGATAGCCACAGGTTCCCCAAACACTCATATATAATTAACAGATTTATGCCATACGCTGGGCTTGAGATTTAAATATGATGATTTTTATGTGATGATAAGGGCTTTCTAGTTTCCGGGTTGATTTTTATAAGCTTTGGTTATCGTATAATGAACAAAATCTTCCTTCCATTTTTATGAAACCTGATGACAGTCTTTGGGTTTGTAGATTCCTCGATTGAGGCCAGCTGAATACAAGAGATCAAGATTACAGCGGAATCGAAGAACAGTTCACCGAGCTTATGGCGGCGTTCTATCTGGTGGAGCTGTCCGTGAAAGGTTGGTCTTCGTCATCGCGCTATATACCATATAATCTATTTCTCATGTTTATGTTTTCGGACTGCCGGGTAAATTTGAAAACGTTTATTTAAATAGGATCATCCGAGCCTTTCTGGTAGAGGAGCAGAAGATTGTTAAGAAGGTTCTGAAGATTCAGAAAGCCAAAGACAAACTGGCTGCAAAGAGCTGATCAGTTGATATGTTGGAGCCACCCATTGGAAAGACCTTTCTAGTTTTATTTTCTAATGAAGAGAATTTTGACTACATAATCATTATTGTCATTTGTATGTCTCTGTTTTAAATGTGCCTGGATTGAATTTTATTTTGAATTCTTCTTTTTTATATTGTTTTCTGTAGAACTTGGTGGAAGACTTTTTGTTCATTTTCAAATGTTATTCAGTCGAATTTTGTTTAGTTTAATTTGAACTGTCAATTTGTTAAACTTTTTAAAAGTCGCTCCTACTTGAGCAAATAAATTACAAATAATTTATTTGAGAACATACAATAATTAAAAGAATTGTTAATATACAGAATTTTGATTTTAATATTTCAGAAGGCACATATTTGAAGTAAAAGTTCTTGTTATCTTCTTATCTTCTTCAGTAAGAGATCTCTTATATTTATGGAAGGTTTCATTAAATGTAAAAATAAAGTAATATCATTAATTCAAATCGATAGTTTGTTGTTATTAATTTCATTTTTATTTTCCGTTGAACAAAGTTTGTGCATCTTGTTAAGCGTTCGCCGTTGAGTAGTGTATAGGAGCATAAAATACATAAACTGTAATTTTAAGTGGATTATAATGCAGAGGAAATCGGGTACAGGGCGACATAGGCAGGGAATATGGCGAATGTGCCGATGCCTTCGCTCCCTAAAGCAGATTCACGCTCTGATACTCGTCCGGGGCTTCCTCTCCAACCCCCACGCCCTGCGCGAGCTCCTCTTCGCCGCCGCCATTTCAGTCCGGGGCGCCATGATCTATGCCCGCCAACTGTTCGATCAAATACCACAACCGGACCACTTCATGTGGAACACCATCATTCGCGGTGCTGCCCACACCTCTAACCCCGCCGAGGCTCTTTCTCTCTCAATCCGCATGGAACGCACCGGCACCAAGCTCCACCACCTCGCTCTTCCCTTTCTCCTCCGTGCCTGCACCATGCTTTCCTCTCCCTCTACAGGCTCCCAGCTCCACGCTAAGGTCACTAAGCTTGGTATCCACAACGACTCTTTCGTTCACAACGCTCTTATCCACCTCCATGCCACCTGCGGCGATCCCAAAGCTGCTTTCATTCTCTTCGCATCTCCTGCCGCAAGGATGGATGTCGTGGCTTGGTCTGCCATGATTGCAGGGCTTGCCGGGAGAGGGCAGCTGGAAGATGCTCGAAACCTATTCGAAGAAATGCCTGAGAAGGATCTAGTAGCATGGAACGTGATGATCACAGGATACTGTAAACATGGTCGTATGGCGAGTGCGCGGGAGCTGTTTGACCAACTGCCCCGCAGGGACACTGTTTCCTGGAATGCCATGATCTCCGGATACGTTCGCAGTGGCGCCCCGTCCAAGGCTATGGATTTGTTCGATGAAATGTGTCTGGTGGACCAACGGCCCGATGAGGTCACCATGCTGGTCCTTATCGCTGCCTGCGCCGACTCCGGCGCAATAGACTTTGGCCTGAGAATACACTCTGCCCTCTGCCGGGATGCCTCTCAAAGCGTGATTCTTTGTAACGCGCTCATTGACATGTATGCTAAATGCGGGAGCATAGATGGGGCTGTTGGGGTATTCAGGGAGATGAGAGAGCGAGATGTCTCTAGCTGGAACTCCATCATTGGAGGGCTTGCTCTCAACGGTCATGCCCGGAATGCAGTCACCTTTTTTGAGGAGATGAGGAGCGCAGCGGCAGCCAGGCCGGATGAAGTGACCTTCGTGAGCGTTCTAGTGGCGTGTAGCCATGGTGGGATGGTGGAGGAAGGCAGGGCTTACTTCTCGCTCATGAGAGATAGGTATGCAATGGAGCCTAATGCGAAACACTATGGGTGTATGGTGGATATGCTTGGTCGCGCGGGGAGGCTGGAAGAGGCGTTTGGATTGGTGGAGGAGATGAAGCGGATTTGGGGGTTGAAGCCTAACGCGGTAGTATGGAGGTCGCTTCTAGGAGCATGCCGGACGCATGGTAATTTGGAGTTAGGAGAGCTTGCCAACTCTGAGCTGTTAAATATGTTCATAGATAAGTGTGCAGGTGGCAACTATGTTCTGCTATCCAACTTGTATGCTTCTATGGGAGAATGGGATGGTGCGGAGAAGATGCGAGCGTTGATGGATGACACTGGAGTTATGAAAGCGGCTGGCTGTGCGCTCGTTGTTGAGGATGACTGTTGTGCATAAACAATCAGTGGCTGGAGTTTCAGTAGATTGTTGCTACAAAGTTCGAAGAGTATAAGCTATTCTGCTCTTCTGAACTCTGCAGAGAGCATGGAAGTTTTGATTATGGCTCTCTTATGCATAACACATCTCTAGGAAGCCTGCTCGCTCATGCTAAACTCTGCTTTAGGCAACCCTTACTTCGGTAAACACTTTTTTTATTATTATTTAAATTTTGTTATACACTTTCAATTTGAGAATGATGTGAATCAAGTGATGCTTTCATAACATCTAAGCTATATACTGTTTTTGATGCTTACAATTACTATTTTTGTGTAGTTACTGATGTTTACCATCACCACTTTTGTGTTGTAGTTCTAGTGGTGGTGGAAATTGAGCATTTTTACAACCCGTTGAATCTCATTAGCTAATTTTGTTCACTAGTGTTGACTATCTTGCCTTTAACTTCATTGTCTCTTGAGTACTGTTGTCACAATGAAATGAATGATATTTTAATCAAGAATTTCTTTGTATATTATTAAATGCGTTGTAAGCCCCCAAATTATAAAACCTCAAATACTCCATCAAATGATTATATATGTGTTTTCTATTTGTATATAACATATCGAGTGTTAAGATATTGGTAAGATTTTGTACTAAATCAAATGAAGATGGGAAAAGCATTAAAGATTTCAAATACAAGACACAATTTTACGTTGCTCAGTAAAATCTACCTACGTCCAGGCCCGCATTGAGATCAAATACCCTATTAAGCTTTAGAAGAGATATATGGAGATATTATACTTTTTGTGAATAAGGATAAATATATCTTTGTCGGTCACAGGTTTAAGATTGCCCGATTGGGCATGAAAATATTTTTTGTTCTTGAGGCGAGGTGCAAACTTCAAGACATAGAGGCACAAGCCTTAAATACTGCATAAACTATATAGTGTAAAGTAAGAAATAACATTTTAATATTCTATTTATTAACAAATTAAGAAAATAAGATAACAACATTTCAAGTAAAAATTAATAAATTGCTCAAAGTTGGAAGTTACACATTAATATCATAACATCAAATTATAAAATAAAATGGGTTATTTAATCATTAAATTATTAAAATAAGCTAAGTTATCAAAATAAAATACTAAAACATCTAAACATAATTATCAAATAAGTTCAATATAAGTATCTCTCCCACTTATATTGTCCTCTACTTAAACAAGAATATAACAATAATTAACATTTGAATTTTTAAATTCAAATTTTCTATTACTCATCACCCAATTGATTTTAATTAGAATCATCGATATAATGAATTATTTATCTCGCGCCTTATCCTTAATCTTATTTATATTCTCCTATTCCTCATTATATTTAGCCTCAATTGTTTTTTATATTTTAAAAAGTTAATTTAAACAATAATTATGTCGATTGTTAGAAATTCAACCACAAAAAATTTTATGAATATATTTTTCTTATATTTCTTGCTATTTAGTGCGTGAGATGTGAGAGGTAATATGTGAGGTATATTGATATCGCTTTTAGTTTTGTTAAAAAAAAATTGTGAATACACTACAAAAATTGAGGTATTTTTGATGTGGCTTCAACCCTCTCATCTTGGGATATTGAGTTGTGAGCCTGACTGTGATTTGTTTGTCAAAAGTTTTGAGGTGGGCCTCCAATTGCACAAGTTTAAACTAGGCTTGTGTATATGATTGAGATGAAAAATAACTATTTCTTATGGAGATGAGAGTTGAACATTGATAAGAAGACTTTGATGATGTTTTTCCTTCTCTCTTCTCTATGTAGCTTTTTCCACTCCTTCCCTACTGTGAGAGCCACTCTCTATTATTACCAAAATTTTCACTCCTTTTATTTACTTGTTGGTGTGAGGTGCATGCAACCATTGATTTATTATTTTATTTATAGTTACAGCGTAAGGTGGTAGGTGTAAAGATTGAGTTTGAATGAATTTTGAGTTAGGTAGCCACTACCTTGAAAAAACAATTGTGGATTGATCTTGACATTGCCAACCATCATCTTGAAAAACCAAGTGTGAATAAATCTTGTGTTATATAGCCACCATTTTTGAAATGTACTTGTGAATGGATCTTGAGTTTGGTAAGCACCATATTGGAGAATAAGTATGAACAAATCCTTGGTACCCGCCACTCCGAAAAATCAAAACCAAATTTTATTCAAAATAGTTGAGAGAATTTAATCTACACATTTAATAATCCTCCATCTGTAGTCATGTTTGAAAACTTATTTGTGACACCTGTATATCACAAAAATTAGGGCAACCAAATATTTTATTTCAATAACATAAAACAACACAAACTGAATGCATGAAAGATAAAACATATATAATTTGAGAAGCAGGGAATCTCTCCCAAAATCTAATCCTAACACCTACAATTTGAGAGGTACCTGATCTCTCCCAAATCCAAATCTTAAGACTGAAGGTAATATCAGTCTATATGAAATTACGAGCGACATCGGCTGTAATTTTGACTATTGGTTTGACCTCGATCTATTTGGAGAAATAGTTGATCATGACGAGGATATATTTTCTTTGTTCTTTTCCTTGGGGAAAGGGATCTACGAGGTCCATTTCCTATACCACAAAAGGCCAATGACTGTTTATTGGTTGTAATTTATGTGATGGTTGATGACGCATGCGAGCGAAGATTTGACATTGCTCGCACTTAGAGAATTCTTTAGCGTCATTTCGTACCGTGGGTCAGTAGTAACTTTGCTCAGAATTTTGCTTGCAAGAGTTCTTCCAATGGAGTGACTTTTGTATTCTCCTGAATGGACTTTCTGTAAAATCCCAATTTTCTCATCTCCCTTGATGCATTTGAGAGAGTTGAAAGTGATAGATCTTCTAAAGAGCTCCCGATTGATGTTAAGGTAATGCACAGCTTTGATCCTGAACTTACGAGGATCCTTGGTATCTATTGGGAATATGCCTAATGACAAATATTACAGTATGGGGTCGATCCAACTGCCGATTGACTGTATTTGTAAATTTTTGGCTTCGAGTTCTTCAATGGCCGGTTGATCTAATGTGATGGACTGCCTGCTTTATATGCCTTCTCCTTTGGATAACACGATCCAACTGCCGATTGACTGTATTTGTAAATTTTCGGCTTCGAGTTCTTCAATGGCCAGTTGATCTAATGTGATGGACTGCTTGCTTTATATGCCTTCTCCTTTGGATAACGGGTCAACGAATGTGTTTGATTTGGAAACACTCAAGCTTGCTTGTCTCTATTTTTGCCCCCATTAGGTATTTGAGCATAACCTCATCCTGTGTTTCAAAAACCCATTAATCTGGTTTGCAACTAGTCGAGTGTGTGATTTGACTAGGAGATGGGTAATTCTGATTCCTAGTGCAAACCTCATTCCAACAACTGACGCGTCATACTCTACTTGATTTTTGGCAACGACGAAATCGAACTGAATTGAATGACTCAAAACATATCTGAAGGGTTGTGCAAGACCATGTCCACTCCTTTCCGTATGTTACCAAAAGCTTTATTCACATAGAATATCCAAAGCTTGTCTCTTTTTGTGTCAACTTCTTCATCTGTTGATCTTTCATAGAAATCGACTAGTAATTCAGCAACAACCTGAGCTTTAATTATTGTTCGGGATGTATAGATGATATCAAATTTGCTCGGTCCTATTGGCCACTCAAGTGATCTTCTCGAATGGTCGGGTTTGAACAACGCACTTCAAAGGATGATCAATAATAACGTGCACTGTGTGAGCTTAGAAATAATGACAGTTTCTTTTCTGAAATGATAAGTACCAGAGCGAATTTCTCCATTATCATGTACTTTGATTCAGTTCTTTAAAATATTTTACTCACATAGTAGATAAGAAATTATCTTTTGTTCTTCTGAATGAGTACCAAATTGATAACTTCTTTGCCAATTCTCAGGTAGATGTACAACGCTTCCCTTGGTATGGGACTTTGGAGCAAACAAAGCGACTATAACAAGGTTTTCAGTTGCATGAAGGCTTGTTCACATTCCTAATTCTAAGCAAACTGACTAGAATTTTTTATAGATTTGAATAAGGGAGAACAACAGTCCTCTTATTTCGAGATGAATCTATTTAGTTATGTAATCAGTCCAGTCAGAACTTGCATTCCTTTGAGGTCCTTTGGCGACGATATATCCAATATACATTGGACATTGTTGGGATTTGGCTTGATTCCCTCAGGCGTAAGTATCTAAGGAATTTTCCAGAGCTAGTTCCAAAAGTACATTTCAAAGGACTGAGCCTTAGGTTGAACTTCTTTAGTGTAGCGAAAAATATGCTGCTCCGATGATTTGCTTTCCTCCAGGTGGTCCTCTATATAGATTTCAATATTTTTTTTTATTTGTAAAAATTGCATTCATCAATCTTTGTTAGGTTGCTTCAACATTCATTAAGCCAAATGACATCACTTTGTAAAAAGAAACTCCCTATTTAGTGATGAAGGCAACTTTTTTTTGCATATCGACAGGATGATTATTATTTGATGGTACCCAGAGAAGGCATCTAAGAAAATCATGACCGAATGTCTCATTACCGAATAAACCAACGAATCAATCCATGACAGTTGGTAGTTGTCTTTAAGACAAGCTGAATTCAAATTGGTGAAGTCGCCGCACATCCTTCATCTACCATTTGTTTTTTTCACCATCACCACATTGGCAACCAATCAGGGTATTGCACTTCATAGATGAAATTAGCATGCAACAATTTTTTTACTTCTTGTCGAATAGGTTGAGCTAGATTATTTGTCATAATTCACATTTTTTGCTTGAGGGGCTTGGATCGATGGCAAGTGACGTTGATATTGACCCCAAACGTTTCTATGGGAGCCCATGCAAAGACATCTTGATGATTCCTCAAGGTAGCGATAAGATGATCTCTGTGATACCTGCTAAAACGGGTACTGATTACAAAAGTTCTTCCAATTTCTTCTTCGAAAACATGCACAGATTCAGAGACTACAATAACTTCGAGATCGTTGTCTTTATTATTATCAAGTAGGAGGAGGTTTTCCTGTACATTCTTCATGATTCATAAATAACATGTTTGGGAGTGGACTAGGTCTCCATAAATGGTGATGATTTGGCCTTTGACAAAAAAAAAATTGACAATGACATGGTAGGTGGACGTAACAACTCAGAAGACATTTAGCACTTGTCTGTCGAAGATGTCATAAATAACATGTTTGGGAGTGGACTAGGTCTCCCTAAATGGTGATGATTTGGCCTTTGACAAAAAAAAATTGACAATGACATGGTAGGTGGACATAACAACTCAGAAGACATTTAGCACTTGTCTATCGAAGATAGTATTGTACACATTGGGGGTGTCAACAATGATGAAATATGTTGTCGTTGTGTATTGACGTTCTCCTTACCCCCAATTTCTTGAGAGGACTATTACTCAACAAGTTTTTTTCGCTTTCCGAAAAACCTAAAAGTGATTCGTAGGTAGGTGAAAATCGATTAGTTGTTATGCCCATTTTCTCAAAAGTTTCTTTGAACAGAATGTTGACTAAGTTTCTAGTGTCAATCAGGATATTGTCAATTTGATAATCTTTGATGATGGTGGGGTCCACGATCGCTTCTTTGAAATGATTTCCAACAACGAGCAAATGGACATCTAAGAAGGAGGATGGATCGGTGAAACACGTTTGGCTAGAGTGTCTGAGCAAATTTCTCCATTCCTTAATCTTTTAAAGTTGTACTTTCATGAGACCTCAAGTCCGTGACCCCCCTCCCTCCCCTCTTAAAATAGCTATAGGATGCCGGCGATGTAAACCGAATTTACCAGAGTGGGTTCTTTGCCAGTGCCTTTGATAGGTGCTTTGCCCTGTCGTTGGGTACAAGGCTTCAAGCCATAAACTATTCCTACTTTCTTGCCTTGATCAATTCTTTGATTAGGTTTTGAAGATGTTCAGTGTCACAACTATAATCCTGATGATATGTGCAGTATCGATTGAGATCACGAGCATAAGTTTCTACCTTCATGGGAAAGGGCTTTTTGATAATTCTTTGTTCTGAATGGCTTCAACGATTTCAACTATCAAAACTCTCAAAGGTGTGACTTAAGTAGAGAAAGTCGAAATAACTTCTGGATTCTTTACGACGTTCTTTCGACTATCCTTCTGTCATTGTTACTTCGTTCTTGGCAAAAATGCTGGTCGGGAACGTTATAAGGATTCTTCTTCTCGGAGTTGTTTTTTGAGTTCTGGATATCATCGTTGGGTTGGCTTTGAAACTTCTCCTTAGACTCTTGTGCTCGTACTCCTTCGCAGACATTTGCCTTTCTAAGTTCCAAGAATTTAGCCAAGGTTTTTGGCTTTTGAAGCCGATCATGTACCAGAATGGTCCCTCACGGAGATCTTGAACCAGAGCAACGTGAGCAATGTCAGGCTCCATATTCTAAACGTCCAAAACATCTACTGTTGGAAATGAGTGATAAAACTTTTGAGATTTTTCGTAAGTTCTTTGTCAAAACTTCAAGAGAGCTTGAGAGTTCTTTTGTGGTTTTCGCGCACTGGTGAATTGAGCTAACAAACATATGCTTGAACTCTTTGAAAGAGGTGCTCACCTCTACTGGCAAGTGGTTGACCAGTGTAAAGTTGACTTCATTATTGCCACAAAGAATAAAGGACACTTTAAAGCATCATTTATTCCGAGCAGATAGACGTCTGACTCGAATGAAGTCAGATGGTCATTTATTCGTGCACTGGTGAATTGAGCTAACAAATATACTAGACTGCTTTCCCGTTTTTTGACTTTAGGCAAGCAAAGATTGTTAAGCAAAGACAAGAAAAAAAAAAAAAGGCATATAATTTTGTCGGTTCGATATTTCTATGAATTTTGTGTTGAATTTAACTATGTTCCCCTAAAGGATCTGATAACATTTATAAAGTGGTCAATGAGTTTTAAGAATGGCTCTTTTTTTTATTATTTTGCCACAAAACAAATGATCCTTGTCATGTTGATAAAAGCTTTTACTACATTATATGATAGGGTGCTCCTTTCATTTTGTAATTTTGGGAAAACCTTTTGAATTTTAATGGGTACTTAAGTCAAATTTTTATTACATTTTATTTACAAAGTGATGAGCAAATGTAGGTAGTAATTAATAATGACTTTGGAATTTTTTTGGAGCGCTTAATCGACAACATTTAAGAATAAGGGATTTGCAGATGGCAATATTTGAATGTGCATATAACATTACAATCTCCAAAATAAGAAATCCATTTGAAATTATCTATTGGTTTATTCCAGGAGGTCTGAAGAAGACCTCTCAACCTTTCTTTCACACATGCCATCCTATGCATTCTCTGACACTGCATTTACATTTCCAAAGTATATTTTGATCTTCATTTAGAAATTGAAAAAAATAATGCAAAATATGCAGTGTATATGAACTTCAAAAGATGTAGAGAATTCAAATATGGTGATTATATAACTTTCAAAATTATTAGAAAATTAGACCAAATGTTTATTCTCTAGATTTGCCGTCTAACATGCATATTATTTGCCTTTAATAAACTAGATGTGATTATTAGAGAGTTCTAGAGCCTAAAGTTTTGAAGACTGAACATTTTCTTTTAGGTGGATTATGCTGTATCAGATAAAAGCCCTTGCAGCGCAATTTTTTGTCTTCTAAGAACACCTGGTTGAGCATTCTGCACAGACAACCCAGCTGCTGCTGCCAACATACTAAAGTTTCAATCTAATAAGCACATTGAAGCTCTGCAAAATTTGAATTTAGTGTGCTTGAATGTGCGGGACATTGATTGGAAACAAAGTAAAAAAATCCCAAGGTATCGGGTTCTAGCACTCAACCACCCGGAGAAAAAAAAAAAAAAAAATCCTCAAATTTTAGCATCGGGTGTGATATTCCTCACATGGAAGGTTCGCCATCAAACATGTCCCCACCCTAAATGTGAAGCTATTTGAAGTCTGTAATTACTGGTTTCATTAATGTTCCTCTTTTTAGTCAGTTAGCTAATTTTAATAATGCTCTCCAGTCAAAATTCATGTTGACAGGCTTTAGATCAATCCGCTTTTATTTGATTTGTTAGATTTTTGTATCACACTTCATGTAATTCGGGGGATATTGATGGATGGTTGTATTTTTTATGAATGATTGACTGTTTTGGGTATGTATACATACTTTGAGATATGTGGTGTTAAGTTTGAAATTTAGATTTTTCACGTCAGTTTCAAACAAGATTTCTAACCAACCAGGATAAGAATATCCAGACGTGAAACAAAGAACCTCTATTGTATCACACAACTCGCGTCCAAACTCCGGATGTAATATTTTTCTTTAGAAATTGAAAAAAATAATGCAAAATATGCAGTCAAAATTCATGTGAAGCTATTTGAAGTCTGTAATTACTGGTTTCATTAATGTTCCTCTTTTTAGTCAGTTAGCTAATTTTAATAATGCTCTCCAGTCAAAATTCATGTTGACAGGCTTTAGATCAATCCGCTTTTATTTGATTTGTTAGATTTTTGTAACACACTTCATGTAATTCGGGGGATATTCATGTAATTCGGGGGATATTGATGGATGGTTGTATTTTTTATGAATGATTTGACTGTTTTGGGTATGTATACATACTTTGAGATATGTGGTGTTAAGTTTGAAATTTCGATTTTTCACGTCAGTTTCAAACAAGATTTCTAACCAACCCGGTGAAACAACGAACCTCTATTGTATCACGCAACTCGCGTCCAAACTCCGGATGTAATATTTTTTCATGAAATGAATTTTAGTGGCAATAGTTTATCAGGTAAAAGTTTGTATCTATTGGGGCCCCCTTTCTTTTTTTTTTTTTTTTTAGATCACCGACATTATGAGATATTTAGGTAACATCAGAAAATTAAAGTACTTTTTTTTTACATGCTAATAATTAGACGATACTATGACTTTCACTTTTCGCCCATACTGTTCTCAATATTTTCTCAAATTTTCATCACCATTAAATCCTTTAGTCTCTCCATAGGTAAACTAAAATAATAATAAAAAAAAGTTCCCATTTAAAGGGCATTTCAGTTCAAGTAAATTCACCTAAACCATATTTGATTTGCGTTGTTCATTAGTATTTAAAAGAATATATATATATATACACATTAAATTATAATTATAATGTCAATATATTGATTGAAAATTATGTGCAATACTAAACCATTAGCAGTCTAACTTATGAGTACTCAATATTCTATTTATTAAATCCTGTTATCATCTCTAATCCATTAGCAGTCTTATGCCACAAGTTTAACATAATTTAAAGCAATCACCATGAGCGCCCAATATTCCAAAACCCTAGAAAGGCCAAATATCCATAATACAAATGCAGGTAACAAATTATAAAATAAACAAAAAGAAAAGGTTTGCATGAATGGATAAAACAAGGAAAAGAGAAATATGGAACCAGGCGAAACTAAAATGAACAAATTATTATTACCAAATTGAAAGCCAGTTCATCTTTAAAACAGTTATACAAATAAATAACAACAAAAGTAATAATGATGATGATGATGATTAGAAAGATAAAAGAAAAGGCATTACAATGCTCCGCCAAATAAGAAATCTCAGATAATAGATCAACTATAGACTCGTACTGTAAAGTTGCTTAAGTGTAGTAATCCTTATGTTCAAGCTGAAAACAGCGGCCTATCAATAGCTGTCCTTCAAAGCCTTTAGCTAAGCTGTCTTCTACTGCACATGCGGAGGTTTTCAGACAAGCTAGAGAGCCATGCTTAGCCATATTGTCTTCTGCAGCATCAGATTTTAAGTCCCAACGTCCTCGTCTTCTTAGACCAAAGTTCTGCTTCAATCTCTTTGTTATCAGGCATGCTGACTGTGGTTTATCGATTGACGACACTTTTTCCTTGTGAAATCTAATATCAGTGTCATAAAAAAGTTTCCTCTTGGATCCTGGAAGTAGAGTCAATCCTGCAGGAGCAACAAATCACATTGGATGCTCGTCGATGCAACAAATTTGTTAATTGCTACTAGAAAGTGTTTCTGAGAAGGTGATACCACGAAATGTGCTTGATATGGTAGGTTCAGCTTGCATGTCGCTGCAACTGCAGTAAAGGTCTGTGCTGCGACTCTTGGATTGATTGATACTGCCATATTTATACAGAAGAATAATTTGTGAGAAGACTGAATGGTCATGATTTTGCATCATTAAAATCTTGCTCCTATGGCTAACGAGTATCCTATTCGATCTAGGTTTCTACATTTTGGTATTGTTTAAAACTTTGAGCTGCCAATTTTGTGTGATGTGTTGAATTCTGATATTTCCATGAGTTTCACCAAGAAAAGAGCTGAATAATGAAGGATTTTAGTCCAAATAACATGGAGAGAATCAAGGAGAAACAAGTCTTTCATCATCTCAGGGTTTCGTCCTATTGTACTCTCATGATCACTAATATTTATAGAGGGGTTGTCTTATACATTACAAATAAAGTATTTCGTATGCACGGATCCCAAGAGATCTTGGATAGATCTATCCTCTTTGTTCTTGTTCTTGTTCTTGTGCGGGTGTCAAAATTAATATTATTCGGGTAACGCCTTGTATTGATAACAGTTCCTCATAAATGTTTTCCTCAAACCTTTCACTTTCGGAAATGTTCCTGTCGACAAAGCTCAACCATGGGGCGGGTGGATCTCCTAGGAGAGTTGACCTACGAGAGAGTTGATCTCCTGAAAGAGTTGATCTCTTGGGAGACTAAATCTTCCAGGGAGAGCTGATCTTCTAGGGAGAGTTGAACGGAAGACTTGATCTTCAAGAGAGAGTTGATCTTCCTATGAAAGTTAAACTCCTAGGAGAGTTGTCGAGTTGCCTCGACTGAGCATTTGTGCACTGATCATCATTAGCGAGCTAGTTGGGTTCCTTGGCCTAGTTACTAAGTCTAATTGATCCGGCCGAGTTGTCTAGCTGGTTCAACAGCCGTCAAGATTCAAATCTTAAACTTGGTCCAGGACTTTAAGTCATATATATTTAATTTCTCAATTCTCTTGCATCTTTGGAAGACAACTACAAAAATAACAAGATATTATTAACATTTCTTTATCGCTATTCGAAAACGAGACTTATACTTTGCTCGTCTTGTAGCATGTGCTCAAAAACTCTGCTGTCAGCCTAAATATGTGGTCTATTTGCACGAGATAAGTTAGAGAATTTTTATTGGCAATACACCATAGCTACCATGATTGTCAAGTTGTCATGACTATGTTGAAAATTCTTTAAGTAAAACGTGATAAGTGGCTTTCAATAAGTGTTGACTGGCTTTCCTCCTGGGATTCTCAGCTCTCCTACAAAGAATCATCCTTGCGAAACTTTGTCTAAACCAACATAATTCTATTATGAGGGCATTTTGTATGAACTTCAAGGAGTAGTCTCTCGACTTGTCAGCTTAACCTTACTATCATATATATATATTTTTAATCCTTTATTTGGTTGACTTAATGGTGAATTTGCCTTATAGGATAAGTTTCCTAAGTGTTGTTAGTGAATTTGCCTCCCTTATACAACTAGGTTGACTATTTCCCTATAAAGTTACTCATGAATAAATTCGGATAATCTCGTTAAGTTTAGACTATTCTTTGCCCGGGTGCTATAGCACTCACATAGATGGTCGTGGTAAATTTAAAATTTTACCAAAATCGGGATCTCGTGGCCTTCAATTCCGATGTTAACCATCTTCATCATTTATTTAGCCTAATTACATTTAGAAAATTATTTCTCCAAAGTGGTTCCTAAAGATCGACTACTAAGCTGAGTAGGGTCTAAATATTGGGCGGCTTTCCTCTCACTCTAACCAAAGTTGACTAGAAGAGATGAATTCCCGGAGTTCCTTGAATGCTATTAACAAACTTGCTATATATAACAAATAATATCTACATTATTTATTATATATGCATATAGCTATATATTCATCGACCTAGTTACATGTAATTGATAAAAAAAATATCACATACTAAATAAAATAAAATAATTTTTTTAAAAGAGATTCTTCCTTTAATCATGTTGTCTGAGATTTCTTTGTTGCTAGAATATGCTTCTTATATAACGCATCTTCTAGTATGTGACATGCTCTAACACTCATTGCACATCTCAGAAGACTATCTAAGAATCTGTTCTCTTGCACCATAATGATCACCCCTATTTAAAAAAGGATTGAATTATAAATTACAAATAAATTATTTCTAATACACGATTCCCAAGAGATTTTAGATTTATCATTTTGGTCTACTTTTATTGTGGGAGTTATATTAAATATTGACTAGGTAATGCCTATTATTGGTAACTATTCATCATAAATACTTTTTCTCAACCTTTTCAGTTCTGGTAATGCTTTTTGTTAACCAGCTCGACCATCAGACGAGTTGGTCTCTCAGGAGAGTTAATCTCTTGGGAGAACTAATCTTCCAGGGATAGTTGATATCATGTGAGAGTTAATCATGGGAGGGTTGTTATTCTGGGAGTTAATCTTCCAAAGAGAGTTGATCTCCTAGACAAGTTGGTTTTCTTAGGCGAATTGATCTCCACGGAAAGTTGCATAACTTCCTCAATCAAGCATATGTGCGCTAATCAACATTGACGAGCTATTTGCTCGGGTTCCCTGGTCAAGTTACTTGGTTAAATTGATCTATTTGGGCAGCTCAACGAATTGCCTGGCTTCAAATCTTCAACCCAATCAAAGGGGCTTTAAACCATATATAATGAATTTCCAACCAGAACTTCTATGACTTGATGAAATTTGGGCAAATCATTCTTGTCATCTAGAGTTTTTAGAGACTTCTAGAATTCAAAGACAGAAGATCTCCTTATACAAGTGTGGGACTTTGAATAAACAATTTTCTTCCTTCAATTCCCTTTCAACTTTTTTTGCCATTGGTCAAAAGTGCATTTGAAACTTGCTAGAATTACTATAATCTTGTTTGTTCTTTTACATGAAGTTTCAATCATATTATTGACTTTTGTGAACCCCTAGTTTCTTAGCATTACTTTATAATGAATCGATAAAATGCTTTCACCTAAATAGGATTTCAACTATTTTGACTTTGATCGATGGTAGCAAATAGTTTTAAGATTGTAACTTGTTACCTATGTGATCAAGAGATAAAGCTTGTAGAACATGTCATTGTCAGGTAAGTTGCAATTTTATGAAAGTTCCTACACATCAACCATTAAAAGATGTTCCACAAGAGACAGATGAGATGAACACAATCTTGAAATATCACAAAACAAGAAAAATTAAAAAACGGAATATATTCATGAATTAATACCCAAAAACAGGAAACCACGAGTGTAATTCATTAAAGTTCTTTAATGCTTCAATCAAGGATATAGGAACAACTGTATGGCAATTAGAACACGAGCTAATAATGCCAGGTTACATACATGTTCTTAAGCAAATGAAAATAGAACAAAATGGATAATAAACTGTTAAGCATGTATTGGTTTAACTACGAAAATATTGCCTAAAAAAAGTATACTAATGGTACAACTATGTGGGTTACTAGCGTATTATAAAAGCCATAAAAAGAGACAAACCTGCACATATGCTCCACAAAATCGTCAATAAGCACAGGCCAAGCCCCTGCGCGAGAATAAAAAAATAAAATCCCCTCAAGGTGGACAGTGATTTCATAAGACGGGGAAGCTTCATTTAGTGAAGCTCAACAGAAATATTATGAACTACCTTTAAAATCATAGCCATCAAGATCTTCATTTACACATCGACTAAAAGCTAACAATTGCTGCCATGTATCCATTGATATATTATGGCGCTGGTGTTCCTAGGTGTAATGGCAAAGAAGAGCAATGAGGTTCTCGGAACAAAGAACAAGAAGAAAGTTACAATAAAACAGATCAATAACACAAGTTCACGGTGAAGTTACAAAAATTATCATAAGAAAGAAGAAGATTCAATACATGCAAATGCAAGAATAAACACAACTTTTCAGCGGTCTAATTGGTGCTATAAAAAACTGCATTAACCTTTCATGCTTTTTACAGAGTACAATGCATTGACATGCGCCCCTATTGGCTCACAAGATTCCTTTGACACTCACAAACTCGTCGGTTTCCACCAAAATTTAACATGTATTAGCATCTGCATTTGGTTATCCTCATCATCATTATCCTAAAACTAGCAAATTGGAGTTCGAAGTATGACTACTCATTCTTCATGAAAACCTATCATTATAAATGAAGTTTTAAATTTACTTTATGAAAAATAATTTTGCATAAATATTTTTCAAAAGGAAAAACTGAGTGAGCTTTTATCATTTAGCAATAAACATGAATAATAAATATTAAAACAAGATCAAAGAAAAAACAATACCAAAGCTAGGAAAAAAAAAGAAAATGACACAAGAGAGAGAAGCTATGACGGTCTAATCAGTAGTGGAACCTCCTCCATAATTTTCTTGATTCTAAAAGTTTTTTTTTTTTTCCTCTAGCATTTTTATCTAGAACTAGACAAAATTGACAATTTCAACCCAGAGGACATTCTACTTTTCTTAGAGAAGCATTTTATCATTTCTTTCCTTCAAATGACAGAAACAAAGAAAAAGAAAACATCTCAGTTCTTAAAAGTACTCCTTAAAGTAAATCCAAGTGGTTAAAAGAGAATCCAATTCATCGATAGGAGATTTTATATTAAAAAATATTATATGCTAACCTTTAAATATTGAAGATAATATAGCAACAGAAGAAGCAAGAAAGTCTTCTTCAATTTTTTTCTTAACATATGATAGATGGTTGATAGGACGATACATTTATTTAAACATGGGGAACTTGTTAGAAACTTTTCTCATAAAAATAATCCGGCCAAGTTGGCAGCTTTAGAGTGAAAAATATAATTTCAAATGCAGTATCCGTCGGTATTGCACACCCATATCCATCATGAATGAATAGAAAGATTTGATCGAATAACAACCATCACCTGACTGAAGACACTAAGAATATCATGATTACGATAAAGAATGATATGGCTAATCAAAGAGTAAGGAAATTTCTTCTTGGTTACATGAATTGCAATCATTTTCTTCCAAAGAATGTCATCAGACTTCAGAAATTTTGGAACCATATATAAGCTTTTCATAACATGGTGGGACAAAACTCGTACGCGACGTAGTGGGTAATTCAAAAAACCCTATACACATTTATCGTAGCGCATTGAAATGAAACTCAAATGTGAAGCTAGTGATGTGGTGGGTAATTCAAAATTGAGTATCTATATGCATTTTTCATAAGGTGGTGGAGAAATGTGAATTTTCATGCATGTAATTTATACATCTTTGTAGCGTGGTAGGTGATGATCACCAGGAAATGGTGTTTACAACACCAATACAACTTTTTTTTAGCGTGACAGGTAAACCTGGTTCTCTCTAAGCAGCCCCTCATGTGAGGACGATGTTGAGAGATAGTCGAAATTTTATCTACGCGGATGTATGAAAAAATAAAACTTAAAAATATCTGTTGAGCACAAAAATGATCAAATTTAAATAAATCAAATGTAATATTAAAAGAAAATTGAACACTTGCAAAATCATGTAAGCAGTGCTAAATGTCAATTGAGGCCAAATATAAAGAATAAAAGGAACACTTGCAAAATCATGTAAGCAGTGCTAAATGTGAATTGAGGCCAAATATAAAGAATAAAAGAGACTAAAAGTAAACATAATAAATCATCCCCAAGCACCCTTGAATAATTTAGAAGCTCGCACACAATAAAGATGAAAGAAAATTATATGGATTTGAACTAAGAAATCTCTTATATTTAGATATCGTGTGGATCCGCTTCACTAATTTCCAAACATGAAACAAAAAAAATGTCATTCCACAGTTAAAATATTCTAATTCATCTCTACACCATCGAATCTGCAACCCAATTGCACAAGCGGATAGAAGGTGAATTTTGGTACATAGATCTCGATAATTAGTATTTTCATGCAAATATTCAAAATTGTAAATGATTTCAGAAGTTATTAACGAATTTAAATGCTTTTAAAAATATATGCACGCATTGAAAGACTACCTACAAATGCATCAAACCTTGTGCAAGTGTCTTACAAATGCACTAAAGTTAGTGCTGGTGACACGTGCCCCATCATGCTAAACGCTTGATCATAAAGTCCAAGAAAGTTGCATGGGATAGTATAAAATTAGTATTAAATGCATGCAAGTGTTCTGTCGCTTGCCTTAATTTACTAAACTTACTAAGATAACAGGATGCGATTTAAAAAAAAAGTCAAAATGTGATTTTGGGCATATTATAAAAATAAAATATTCGCGCAACATTTTAACTCCGTGATTTGACAATTGATAAAGTGACACTCAACTTGGAGGTAAATGCTTTAAGATGTGTGCAAGTAGTAGTTCTTTGACAATTGATAAAGTGACACTCAACTTGGAGGTGATATCTTGATATTTATGTAAATGCTTTAAGATGTGTGCAAGTAGTAGTTTGAATGTCTTCAAGCTACATACATGCATTTTAAGAAATAAGACATGCAAGCACGTTAGCATTTCAAAGCTTGCATCGACATTTGAAGATATCTTTCCAACTATGACATAATGTCTTAAAAAATTTCAAGTATTTTAAAAAGTGTGCAATTGAATTCTATAGGTATGTCTATTGCACTTTTTACATTTCAAAGAGCACAAAACTCTACATAATTGCATCAAACGTGTGTACCAAAATCTATGCAATTGCATTAAGCAAGTGCATTAAAATGTATGTATATTAGCAAAATCAACCCACATGTGCTCCACCAAATCGACTAAGGGTATGTTTGGGGCAGCTGCAACTGTTTGAAGAAGAGCAGTGAAAGAAACTGTTTTTCAAAAAACTGCGATGACTAATAAAAATTTATTTTATTTTCAAAAAATCATACCACAATTTTCTGGCAGTCACCACATTTTAACAGCTTAGTCTGTTTCTACCGCCCAATTTTTTTAAAAAACAGCAAGAAAGCAGTTTTCCAAACAGAATTGTGGTGGCGGTCTGAAAAACAAAACAAACAAAAAACTGTCTCAAACATACCCTAAGTGTTTAAACTTAAATGATCTGAGAATGTTGCGCATGTCAACGTTAAACATACACTCCAATAGTTCTTGCTCTAATAAATATACAAAGTTCTTTTGACAACCAGTGATTATTTCAAAATTAAGAGCCCTCATATTTTAAAAGTCAAATTCAAAATCATCAAACTAGGCACACTCTCAATCAAACCGCCTTATCTATAGGGTTGGGTTATAAGTCCAAGTTAATTAGTCAGATCCTCCTCCATTTAAGGACTAGAGTTGAAGAGTCTGGTAAATTTCAATAATATCCAAATCACATGCAAGAATTTGCATATCCAAATCTCGAAGTAAGATCCTACCCATAAAAACTGAAGTTGACAAAATTGACAATTTATAGATATTCAAGCATTAAAATTTTAAAATAAATTTCAAGCATAAGTGTTTTAGATATCCAAATCCCCGCATAAAAACTGAAGTTGACAAAATTGACAATTTATAAATATTCAAGCATTAAAATTTTAAAATAAATTTCAAACATAAGTGTTTTAGATATCCAAATCCCTAATGATGGTTGCGTTGACTGAAAAAGCTCAACCGAAAGGATAAATTTTAAAGCAACAAACCAAAGCAACTACTTTAAAATTAAATCACATATACTTAAAAAACAAATCTGTCTGCACTCCGCAATAATTTGTCGAGAATGATATATGTTTTATCGACTTTAGGCCGCAAAAAGCGAATGTCACATTGAGTGTATCATTATATTCACATTCAAAGAAATCTCACGCTAGCAAGGATGCAGCCCGAGTCCTTTGTCCGTACGGTTTGGCCTAAAGCCTTTAAAAAAAGTAGCGGTTATGACCAGAGTCCTCAAACCAGGTGATTGTCACCAAATGACACTATTATATTATGGTTATGGATGCAGCTTAAATATTCATCAATGACTTTCTATCATTTGAGTTGTGAACCACAATAGTATAATTGATTGATACAAAGACTTTTGTCAGCTAAGGTCAACTTAAATCTATCATCTTAGACAAACATTTAACGTAGACATATAAGAATCCCTTAGATGTTGCAATACATGGTTGGTGACAATGATACTTAAGTGAGGTTGGGTTGAGTACCTCCACTGACTAAGTAGATCATAGATCACAACGACCCGGGAGGACCAAAACCATAAAATCTTGATCGAGTACGTCATCATTTCCCCCACTATCTATTTTAAATTCAAGGCCATCAATTTTATAAGTTAAGTCTTAAGTCTATTACTACTAGACGTTGAATATTCAATGTTTAGTGATTAGCCTTAGTCAAAAGTGCCCTCCCATCATCGGGAGGGAGAATTAACCATAAGGGTTTATGCCTATGGAAAATCTTGAACCACATATAAAAAAGTCATTACAAAATGAGTGAAATTTATGGGTAGTGTCTTATGTACAATACAATGTCTTCTGAAAATTTGACCCGTAATATAAAGTAAAAATACTCTAGGGCGTCAAATTTTCGGAGCCCACAATGGTGAGCATTGCAAGCACATTAGCCTGCAAAGTTCAGAGGCAACTTTCTATATCTAAGTTTTTGGAGCTGAAAGAAGTTAAGCCTGAAGAGGATATAGGTTAAAAAGAGGCAGGCCAGGCGGCTCATACTACAGAGTTGGGTTATGAGGATGATGGTAGATGCAAGGCGTTGATGCAAACAGTTGGGAACAAGGTATCTAGCTACAGCACGTAACTTTAGAATTACCTCAACAAAACAACACCACTGATTAAGTAAGCGGAATCTCCCTGCTAAAACCAATCTCCAGGCAGTGATAGCCCTGCTTACAGCTGTATATCATTTGAGAAAATTATTCAAGGTGCAAAATTAAGAAAAGAACGCATAAATATAGAATGAACAAGACAATCAAGAAGGAAGAAACTTACTGATATTCTTCTGCCCGTTCTCACAGCAGATAAAGAAGACAAAATCATAGAAACAACTAAATTGACGAGAATCAAACTATAAAATAAGCCATTAGCGATCAGAACAATTCTTACAGTGACGGGAAAAGTTAAAAAGCATGACAACTATCATGTAAAGCAGATTTAACATGTATGTTGAACAGAATACTCACCAACAAATTAAGACAAGACATGAGTTTAGTGAGGTCACTGAGAATTACATTCCTGGTAGTCCAAAACAAAAAAATAAATAAATAAATAAAATCTTTAGTCAGCATAATTTAAGGAGATTATATCAATGTAATGCAAAATAAAGGAACAAAAATGTACAGATGCAAAGGAATATAAAATGTAGTTTCTTGATATGCTGTGTTATACTTCAGGCACCATTATGTTCTGAAAAATCAGAAGAGTCCGCATACCGGTTCAAAAGATTCCATAGAACTTTCTAAGCCGACAGACCTTACGGACCCATCTCCTAAACAGACCACAGCCTTCCCACAAACAATTTAGGCACCAATATGACCTAAATGGATTACCATTATACTTATTTAAAATAAAATTTTATAAGACACAGGTCCTTTGTTTGATGCAGGTCCCTTTATTTGATCCATATATAGTTCATATGTAACAGTTTTTACATTGCTAATGAGCACATTGACTCAAATACATTAGTAAATGCAAATATTCCAAAGATTGAAAAAGCATGGTCCAGAGGAAGTTGAACTTGCCCAAACAAGGGTGAACTTGCCCAATATGAACTTACTTCAAGTAAACATGGACTCTCCAAGATCAGGATGAATCACAGGAATCTAATCATGTTGAGGCGCATTTGGAGGACTTGTTACCGATGCTTTAAAAACTGGATCGGACCAGACTGGACCGGCCAGTCCAACTGATTCGACCGTGAACCAGTCAGTGATCCGGTCCAAGCATATAATAAAACCGCTTCAGCGTCATTGTTTCAGATCGTCTCAAACCACCGGTTCGACCGGTGAACCAGCGAACAAGTTTCGGTTTGGGAGAACTGGGTGAAAATAATCTCAAGGGTGTTATTGCTTCGATTTTCCAAATCAGGGAGCCGCTTTGATTTCCCTCTTACAGGATATTATTAAATTTTCCTATCGTTTTGATTTCCCTCTTAAAGGATATTATTAAATTTTCCTATCGCTTTGATTTACCCAATCCATCATTTTTTTTTGGGAAAGACATCAGCAATCATGTACATTTAAATTTTCCCAAGACTCACTAAATTTACATAAAGGTAAATCATAAATTTAATGGTATGTAAATTTCCCTATTATCGTATCTAACACGCTTCCTGTATAACAAAAAATTTAAATCTCATCGTTTTCATTTTGACAAACTTTCTGAAAGTTTTTCAATATTAAATGTAATTTTAAGCAAGGTTGTGGAAACCGGATGACAAACTTTCTGAAAGTTTTTCAATATTAAATGTACATGACGACTATTTTGAATTTTAAGCAAGGTTGTGGAAACCGGAACGGGGATATCACACCGGAAGAAGGAAATGTTCAAGATTCATTAGTTCGATCGGGGTTGAACCGGGGATTGAGTCAGATGATGTAATGAATATAAAAATTAATTAAATAAGACATAAATAATATAACAATGATATATTACACGCAAATACTAACTAAAAATGATCAAAATTGCATTATAAAACACAAAACACACAAAAGTAAATTCAATAATTTTAAATATAAAAATATTTAATATTTGAATGACTAATCTCATATTTGAAATCTTGTATTTCGTATTTGATTCCTTCAATATTTAATAATCTAAAAGTAAAATGTAGATGAGAGAAAATTAAGATTAATTAAAAACTTAATGAAACTTGGAAGTCACAACCACAACCTCATCTCTACATTCCTCTTAAATATCACTATTCAAGGAAGCGGATAAAATAGTCACAACCACAACCTCATCTCTACATTCCTCTTATAATATCAAATATCACTATTCAAGGAAGCGGATAAAACAAAACATTACATTTCTCTAAAGGGCTGCTCCATTTTAGGGCCCATTTGAAATAGCTTATTTATTGCGGTGCGTTTTGTTTGGGTAAACTGCATTTTGGCAGCTAGTGAGTTTTCAAAATGCTGAAAATAGTATTTTCACACCACGCCTATCTAGGTGCGGTGACAACTTTCTGGCTGTGGTCTGGCTTTTTCATAAAAATAAAAATTTGTAATAGCCCTACCTAGTTTATCAACAGAATATTTTTAATCAGCTTATCAGCAGATTATTCAATAAGCTACAACAACTTCAAACAGACATTTAATCACAACTTTCTATATATAAAATAGTCACATTCTTTTGTATGATAAATCAAATAAGCTAAAATAAATAATTAAATATTAGCTTTATACAGAAATAAGCTAACCTACCGGTTCAAAGTTCGATCGGTCGGTTCAGTCCGATTTTAACAACCTTGCTTTAAAGATTATTTAATAATTTTTTTATTAAAATTTAATTCATATTCTTATGGATGTAAATTTCTGCTCTTACAAAATCAGGTAAAAACTTTCTTTATGTTCAAAATGATGCAATAACTTGTGAAATGTTACGCATTTTTTTATTGATAAAATTTTGATTTTCAATCTATTATGATTTTAGTGGACTACTTCATGTATAATTTAAAATATAAGTTGCAGATTATCATTCATTAGAAATATAATTTTATAATTCATCGTAAGGAGAAATTTTTGTTAAATTTTTATTTTTTTTAGCTTTTGTTTTACAGTTAATCAATTTTTTTAATTTTACTATTCTAATTTTTATTACATAATTTTGATTATGTTTAAATATTTTATGATCATTACGTCATATGGTAAGACCCCGGTTGAACATATAAACCTTGAACATCTCTTTCTTCTGGTTCGATGGACGGCCCGGTTTTCACAACCTTGCTTATTACATCTTTAGCACAATTGTTAAACAGCATGAGCAACTTGCCCAAACTTACTCTGAAGATCAACGACTTCACCGAGTCAGATCCAAGACTTGCCCTATAAAAGTTGGTAACTAAATCAAATACCAGCCATACAAAAATTCTAGGGTAATCAGATTATTCACCACATATATGTTACAACAAGTAACCATTGTGACTTGCTATGCAATATTTTTTATTAATGTATCTCGATTTGTAGTTTTACCTTTAGCGCATAAGGCTCGATCAAAACTTATAGATAGGGGAACATAGGGAGAGACCAATTTATGCAATATTTTGTTAATAAACTCTTTCCAGAGACTCCCAAAACTTCTCACTCTAGACTCTTTCTTTCTTTCTCTTCGCTTCTCCCTTACATTTTATATGCTAGTATAACCCATTGGCAAAATTGGATTGAACATTTTAAAAGGTGTTTGACAGAAAGTATGAACTCAAGCAAGAAAGGAGCAAAGGCATGAGACTTCTATTGTAATAATAATTAGTATTACTAAAAAAAAGTAATTGATAACATAATCAATTTCAGTAAAGTTATATAAAAAAAATTTATAAAATTACTTGGTTACAATGGCTACTTAAAATGTCATTCGATTAACTGCATTGCCACCCGGAGAAAATCTAATACGAGGGATTTATCCGTTTGTTCATTTAAATCGAACGCACAAGGACAAACCAGAGAGGGTGAAGCAACAAGCAAGAACACGAGAGCAAGAGAGAGAATATAATAAGTGACGATACTGCGAGCATACCTTTACACAGATGAGTCAAACAGCTCGAGAAGCATTCAACTAACTCATTTTAAGCAAGCAAACTACGTGTGAGGGAGGAAAGGGAGACCCGCATCAATCTTAGGCTGCGTTTGGGACAGCTTATTTAGAGCGATGACATTTTCAAAACGCCACCGCCTGTTTAGAAAGAGCAGTGAAAGCACGTTTGGGGAAACTCTGTTTTTATTTTTGTATTATACGCGGATCGCGGGGTCCTCCCCACGATCCGCGTTTAATGCTGTCGAAAGACAACAGTTGCCACTCCCGTCTCCTCTGCCCTAATTTCGGTCGTCTGGATCTCGTGCGCCCCTCCTCTGCCCTAATTTCATTTCGCAAAGGCTCGATCCCGTGCGTAGCACTCCTCAGCAATCCTCCATCTCCATCGCCTTGTGTTACCTTTTCGCCCCTCCTTATTCTGGTCGCTCCTCCGTATTCCATTCAGCAAACTCCTCCGTCTTCGGTTCGAAGAAATCCTTTGTTAGCTTTTCGCTCCTCCGCATTCCATTCAGCGAACTCCTCCATCTTCGGTTCGAAGAAATCCTCCCTCTTCTGTTCTTGTTCTCACTGGTAACCTCATTTTTTATCTCCTTGATCCTCTGCCGCTCTCCAATTTGTATATTCCCGTGAAGATGTTGTTGGATGTTTTTCCTTTCGCTGCTTGTTCATCCGAGTATTTTTGTTAAAGATATTTTTTTTTGTTTTTTTTATTATATCCCAGATAGACGCCCCGACACGGAGTTCGTTGATATCAACATTTCAGAACACCGCATCTGCTTCGACTGCTTCCGTTTCTACTGTATCCCAGTCAGACAGGTTTCTTCAGGGTTCTGCAGTGACAGAGTCGGTCATAGTGACACGTGATATGCTACTGCATGTAAAAGTCAATATTATTATTTTTCTCCTTATGATTTTGACATGTTATTTTTTCTTCTTTGTTGGGTCTCATTACAGTATGTACTAGTGTGTTATGGTGTATTTTTAACATTTGTTTGGGTAATTCTGTATTTCTGATGTGATAAATATTTCAGTGATATAAATATTTTGTATTTTCACATATGTTTTTCAATCTTCTCATTTTTTTTTTATGATTACGTTGAGAGTGTTAATAATTTTGTTAAAAAAAATTCAAATAAGCTCTCCAGAAAGCACAAAACAAACAACTCCAGCTTATTCAGAATCTGGGCAGTTTGGTCATTTTTTCAGAATCAGCTGTTCTCAATAAGCACAAACCAAACAGACAGACAGATTATCCGGATCAACTGCTTATCACCAGATTATCTGGATAAGCAGTTTATCAGGATAAGTTGGATAAGCTGCAGCTGCCCCAAACAAACCCTTAGTGATAACGTGAGCGGAAAGAGCTTCCAAGCAATCGTGTAAGCTCGGTTAACTATGTAGACGAGAGATGTGTTCGAGGGAGGAAGGGGTAAGATCGAGGGACACCTCCCCATTCGAGCGACAATTCTTGTGTAGAGAGAAGCTCG